TTTCCGATGTTTTAATAGTTATTATGCTATTCGGTGTGCAGATAAATCCAACTAATCAAAGATCATAAAAATCGGTTCAGCAGTTCTCGAGTTAGAAGTGTTGTAAAAAATCCGACTATGTTTTATATACAAGAATTGCTCATTTAATATTATAAGATTAGCAAGGATACTAAAATTTTAATATAAATAAATCATCGCATCCAATCAGTACATGCTCCGTGACGCGGCGCGCCACGCAGATTGCCAATTACAAATCTTCCGTTGAAAGAACAATCTTTTCATTTCGTTCGATAGGGACCTACTACGATTATTGTGATTTATTGCATTTATTGAATGGTTCCGTTGCTGGATGGATCACTAAATTTTTATTAGATATTTGTTGGGCCCCTAATAAAACTTCGAGATATTCCTTGCTTATATTCTTATATTCAGTACTTTTATAAACGTCAGTGTGTTACATAATTTATAATCATAATTTTTCAGTAGGTATTACAAACAATTCGTGCCTAGTCACTACATGGTGGTACCGACATCTCTGTGTAAAAGCGCGAGAAAACAAATGAATATCCGCGCTCTTTTTTATTTTTTTTAAAACACATACCTATTGGCCAAGGTCACATAAGTAAATGCCATATACATAAATCATTACAAATTAATCCAATATATTATTTTCTAATAAAACACTCAATATATAAAAATGCAACCTTACATATCCTATATACTAAGATACGTTACTCGTTTCTCGATGCGTTGGCTCGCTTATCATTTTGCATGTATTAATAAACTATAATCCGCGGCTTTGCTCGCGCTAAAACTATTAAAAAACTCTAAAAATTGGGTTTCATAAAAACTTGTATCCTATTTTATCCTCTTAGGGGTTGAATTTGGAAAGATACTTGCTTAGTGGATGTCTTCGTCATAATATGAGGAATACGTGCGCGAAATTCCAATTTTATAGCCTTAAGGGTTTGGCCTGTGTGTTGATACATCAGTCAATCACATTTGTCTTTTATATATATAAATAAATAAACTTGTATTGTATTCAGCCCTTTTAAACATCCTACTGCTGGGTACGGGCTTCCCTTCGATACGAAGGGGAAAGGCGCAGAGACACATTATAGTCTGAAATAGCACATAGGCTACTTTTTATCCCGGAAAAATATATGGTTCCTATGGGATAGATTTGCTTTTGTCTTTTTAGACGCAAACCCGAGCGAACCAATAGTGAACTGCTAGTATGATATAAAAGCTTATTTTTATTATTTTTTTATAAAATGTACCTAGGTGTATGCCCGAGCGAAGAGAGGGTAAGTCGCTAGTGAAGTATAATTACATATTAATCACAGATTTTAATCTGTTTTAACTTTCTTTACAAATCAAATCCAGTTAAAGGACATAGAGAGGGCAAATATTATGTATTTAATTGATTTGCGAACATGATAAAGTAAACTTATATATTTGAACTTCATATTTCCTTTTGAATACATTATGCTACGATATGCAAATTTATACCAGCTATTGACTATCAATGAGTTTAGTATAGAGTATTAGTTCAGTTTATATTAGACTAGCGACTCACCCTCGCACCGCTCTGGTTCGTCCCCACTTACGTTTTAACGTTTAGTATAGATGTCAGAAATGAGGTATTTTCCCGCAGTAAAAAATATACTATATGTTGACCCGGATATCCAGCTATCATCACACTAAATTTCATCAAAATCTGTCCAGTGGTTTTCTCGTGATGCGGTAACAGATAGACAGACAAAAATTCTTAAACTATAGATTCGGCCTTTGCATTGATAATAATGACTATTTCAATGAGGTTTTCCAAAAAATATTTAATGTACAGATTCGACTCACTTAGAATTTTATTATATGTATAGATCAGAGAGTGAGTTAGTTGCTTCACTCGGGTGCGTCCCTAGATGCATATATAACAGAAAACGATTCAAAAGCTCTTACAAGGGGCAATTTTTGACTTTAATCTCAAATATCATTATATTTTTGCTAAATTTGCTTTCATCATATACATATAGTATTGGAAAATTATGCAACACATTGTGTGATCTTTAGTTTATTTTTAGTATAAAGTTGAAAAAGTTTGATAATTCAATTTAGCTAGTGCGTGGTAAAAGTGCATAGATGCTAGCCATCAATAAATTAAAAGAGTTAGGTCACAATATATAGAAATTTGTTCACTATGTTGTCTAAAACTACTTTGCTTTGATGTGAAAAATAGGAACAAAAATTCCTAACAAATTCATACAGAATAAAGAGCCAATTAATAATTGATTTTTACATCTGGTACAGACAGACAATAATTTTAAAAAATATGTTTTTCTTATAAGTACCGTATTTCATATGCATTTAGAGTCTGTGCGGAAAGAGAATCGTCATAAGATTTGAGGGCGCAGCTTTGTTTAATTACCGTATTTGTTATGTTGACAACACTATAGTGCGACTGTAACATCTTGATACTTTGAAACTATGTTAGAATATAATGTTTTCAGATTCCGTCTTAATAATTGTTTTAAGGAATGATTTTAATGATAACTATTAAAGATATTTCTGAAAGGATGTCATGTGCATTTTAAATCAATTTTTTAAAGTACATAGTTCAATTTTTTAAGTGTTACGTTCAATGAGTTCGGGGATTGGAAATAAAGGACGTATTCTGCACGACGGTTGTTTTAATGCTTTCGCTTAAAAATAGTGATTTATGACCATTCACAAACACACGCACGTCTTCCTTTACGTTTTTTCCCTGGCGTGTACCATATGCCGTTATTTATGGAACTTCCTTTTTTTTATTTTAGATACTGTATCATTACTCAATCCTGAAAAAATAGAAAAAATATTTTAAGTTACAAATAAGACTAACTTTACTAACTCGCATAGACAAGCGCATTATAAATTAAAAGTATCAACACTCTTTATACCTGCTATCAAAAATATTGATTGGAACAAAATAAACAAATATTATCATGTTTCTAAATGGATTCCTTTTAATTTATACATATTTTGAGATGTCAGAGACCGCAAGTTACTTAGGAAATCTATAAACATTTAAATAAAACTGTTATATACCGGACATATTATCTACCACACGTTCGGTGAATTTATTTAGGTAAATAATGGTGTGTTTTGCTACTTTTTCTCCTTAGTAGAATTGTATAATAATAAATATTATTTCCCTTGTCGAACTGTGTGAAGTTTTACCCCTTTTCGACATGATTTAAAATAAAAATCACATTATAACAACACAATAAACATAAAATAAAGTTTGACATTTGACAGATGGCTAGATTGGGATTTTAGATGGCCATATAAAAATCATAATGTTAGTTCCATTTTATGCCACGACAATTCTCTTTCCGCACGGACTAGTAACGCTGTTATTTTGACATTACAATCAGACACTTCAATTTTATTTATCTGTATAGATTAAAAAGACGTAATAAAAATGATGTACTCCTGCGTGTCTTCTCCATTCTACGTGACAATAGCGAAGTAATCTGTGCTTAACTGGCCATTAACAAGAAAATTGAATTTTATTGAATTGAAAAATTGTGTAACACACAAAAATGCTGAGTATTTGCTATAATTTTTTTGTGAAGTTGATAATTAACTTTCTGTGTACTAATTAGATGCTACTACGGCGAAGGCAAATATCGTAAGGAATCCTGCACGTCTGAGAAGATCTAACTAAAATAAAACTTTTGTAAAGTCTGTCGATCGTACTTAGCCAGAGTGGTCAAATGTGGCCTGATCTCCCTTTTATTAAAGGGAAGCCCATCAGTGGGATTATTATTTTAATGTACAAATTATATATGCAATGTTCAATGTTCATCATAATTATAAAGAAGCTATTTTGTATTTCTCCACATAGCTATAATTCTATGTATAGGTAATGTATATGCCTTAGAATAGTTATACATATGTAGTACATTAATTATTAAAAATTCCTACCTATTACACCTATCTATTACAATACCTATCTATACCTACCTTTTTTTTAACGTTGGGAAATGCATTTACGCACGAGGTGTGGGACTCACCGGCAAAGCCAGTACTACCCACTAAAACCTAACAAAACCTTCCTCCGTCTTAATGGAGCGTCGCAGGATCGCTTACGCATTCAACTACGACGCCCCGACGGCAGGTCTGCCGAAGCAGACCACAACAACCATGGGGTTGCTCCAAGGTCCACTCTGCTATCAGAGAAGTACCAGAAGCAACCCGCATGGTACACCGCCCCTCGAAGAGGGCCACCTCCCACCGCCCACCGAAGTGGGCCACCTCCCTGTGCGTTTCTTGGCTTCGTGCCCGGCTGTATTGCCGGGCACTACTGAGCCCCTCCACCACGACAAGGTGAACGCACGTTGGGGGGATACCTATACCTACCTACCTACTACAGTATCTACTACAATATATTTTTTCAACCTCCATTGTTAATCCCTCCACGTCCGCGAACACGCCGGCGTGTCAGTTAACAATAGATCTCTTAGAATTTTAACTAATTTGTTAGAAACTTACCTGGAGGTGTTAATATTGTAAATATCAAAGTAATTTTATCTATTACCTTTTCGCTTAAGTCGCTGAAGAGATTTCAATAATTTGGCAAGGATATAAATCGTATCCTGACCCGTGGGCAAAAACTAGTATGCCATAATTGTATACAATGAATAATGCAACTAATGTTGACCCATTAATAACGTGTTGGCTTGAAAAGCCATGCTCCGAGTATGAGTAATTGAGATTTTTATGTTCAAAACTGTCATTATTGCATTAACATTATTGCATGCAAAATTTTCATATTGCATGCAATAGTGTGAAAGAGTCTCAACTCAAAATGTAACTATCTGTAATTGATTTGTAAATTGAAATCGAGATAAACATAATGAGATTTGACTAACAATTTATCTTTGTGTCAACAGATCGTTTCAAGTTGATAACATGTAATCTATATCATACTGCTTCTGGCAATTGGCAAAGGAATAATGCCACTTTTAAAGCTTTTAATATCATTTATATCACTATGTACGGCTGGTAAGTATAATATCTTTTTTAATAAAAAATTTAGAAATTAGAAAAAAAAACTACAATAAGTATCTGTTACAATTTAAAATGTGTAGGTTTAAATGCGAAATACGAAGCGACATTTAAAATACATGGCCCATGTAGTTGATTTTATATTTGAAAGGATATCTCAAGAATAACAAGTCACAATGTCATGTTAAAGTTGTTGGCACCTCGTGTAACATTTTGTATCTCTTCTATGGAATTTATTCATATTAAACATTTTGTTTGTTAAATGTAACGCTCTTTTCATTGACAGAAAATGAAATAAACAAATATAAATTGATCTAAAAATTAATGTCTTCATATTTGGGACATTTAATTAATTAATTAATACTTTTTTTTGAAATTAAATAGAATATACCTATTAGGTACCTAATCTATAATATACAGTATGATTACATTTATAAATATTGTTATATTGGAAAATATGTTTAAACAGCATGGAATACAAGGCTTGTTTTATTTATTATTATTTTTATTTTTTTATTTAGGACATAAATTTAATTCTAACATTTACAATTTTTTTTTAACAGTGTTTTTAGTACCCGCTTACGCGAATCCTCAGAGACGCAAGTTACCTTTTCCACATTTAACGAATTTTGACTTATCAGATATAGGAAAACCTATACACATTTTTGAAGGTATAGACTATGATCAGTTGCCAAAAAATTTGAAAAACGAGTATAGTGACTGCTACGCTGATCAAAAAAGATGTAAACGACTGAGGTAAGATTTCAAGATATATTAATAACGTATGTATATTTGGATCCCTTTAGTTTTTATGACATTTACTGAATGGTTACTTATAATTTGACAACACGTTCGGCTCATAGACCAGGGTCGATAATTTTTAAAACCAAAAAAAATAATAGTAGGATGAAACCCATTAGAAAAGGAGGGGAATATTATAAAAATGAAAGGAAAAATAATTTACGGGCGATCTGAGGTCGGGAAGGGGATGGGGGTGAGGTTTTAAGGGTAAAAAACGGTTTTTCTGGATTTCCGGCAAAACTAAAAGTCTTTGTTGTTTTTTGAATTTTTACATAAATTTTGAGGTTATGTGAAAAAAGTGTAAATACAAATGTTTTAGATCTTTTTATTACCTACAACTTTGCCATTTGACTTTTTTCGATAGGACTTTTAGTTTTGCCGGAAATCGAAAAAACCGTTTTTTACCCTTAAAACCTCACCACCATCCCCTTCCCGACCTCAGATCTCCCGTAAATTATTTTTCCTTTCATTTTTATAATATTCCCCTCCTTTTCTAACGGGTTGCATTCTACTAAATTTTTTTTCACTTTTTATTATTTTTAAAGGCTTCTACCCTGGTCTATCAGTTTGTAGTGACCCTACTTGCTGCGCCAGTTGCCGCGGGTTCGTTTTGTTTGTGCATTTGTCATGTAGTGTATCAACTATCTGGTATCCATAAGCTTATGTTATACTTATAGCTTACCATGGAACTAAATGGTGCTGTGTGTTAATGTCCCAACATACTTATTACTATTATTATAGTTCTATGACACTCTGCCTATATTATTCTTAAAAATGCTTCAGTCTGAAGCATATTTGGTATATAAATCTTAGAACATATTATTATGATAGTGAAAATCGAAAAGCTACGTTATCTCAAACAATTTTCTTAACCGAAGAGCTTTAACCTTTCCGTGTATTATTTCAGGCTATTCCCTTTCATGACCGAAATCCGATTGTCCAATAAAAAGTTCGGATATCAAATAAAAATGGAACTGAAATGAAACGCCTAAATGCCCAATAAAATTCTTTTATATTAGACTATATTTTGCTTCATGTAAACAATTTACTTATTAATTTATATTACTTATATAATATACATAATGTATGTATGTATGTGTCTAAAAGGCAGTGGTATCCCAGAAATACTCACTTGGAAAACCAAATAAAATGGGTTCACACCCGAGTATCTCTATCCGAGTAATTCTACGTTTTATCCCGGAAAAATGTACGGTTCTCATGGGGTACATTTGTTTTTCAAGGTTTTTGTAGAAGCGAACTTGAGCAAAGCGAGGGTGAGCGCTAGTTTTTAATAAAACTTAAGTAGTTATACTAAACCAGATGCAAATATTTTTATGGCTTTAAAAGAACTCAGAGTACAACGAAATATTTCCTACTGATTTTATAGGTTTTTAAAATTGAATTGTGAATAATATTTTTAATAAATGTAATAGCCATAATATTTTTGTTTAAATAAACGATTTTTTATTCAGAAACCATTTGAATCCTGTTTGCGGGTACGACCCAATGTATAGGAGCTTTGAAACCTATCACAGTATATGTGAACTGGACCTTCAAAACTGCCATAAAATGATAAATGGTGGTTTAGGAAAGTATGGGAAAAATTTGTGGGACCGTAAGTATTGTAATTTTATATGTATTTTTTCTAAGTTTCATAGTTTATTTCTATAATTTGAGTCACGTACTACGGATTCGTTACGTTCAGGTATAAGTTATTACTGCAAAGATACTTTTAGTATCTTTTATGTTTTTACTTATACACAAAACTAATTATATAATTTGTTTATCTAAAAAATATAAACTATAAGGTATTATATACAAATACAAGATATATTGAGGTTATACTTATTAAACAAAGAATTATGTAAATCGATTTATAATTGACAAAGATATTTCCTAACATGTACATAATCAAACATAGAAGCAAATTTAGTATAATTGAGATACTTTCTTCTTCATGTCATTCCAAATTAAAAGTTTTTAATTTGTACATTTTGTACTTAAAGCACTTTAATTCGTATTAAGTCAACATAAATTACACATATAAAAAGCCATTCACAAATTAAAAATATGAAAGCTATATATTTTTATTCTGCGATTTCAGAATAGCTATCCTATATTGAGTTTGTTTATTTTTATTACAGCAAAACCTAAAGAAACATAATAAATAAATGTATGCATCTATCTGTTTATTTCCGGTAACTTCCGGAACAGGTTTTATTCCGAAACCGAAATCCTCGGGATATGGGATAGAAGTTTTACAAAAAGCTTTTTTGCAAATCCTAAAAGTTTTTTCATATATTTTCAGGATATATCTACTTTTTAGGTGAAGGAGCTTATTGTGAACATCTTGCAAGGAGCTTTAGAGGAATGACGGACACAGAAAATTCAACAATTCTTGCTATATTGAAAAGCGTTACAAGTTATGAATAACAATTTTAAAAATACAAACATACCTTCATGCTGCATCCCTTGCTTTTCTCTAGAAAATAAATTCGTAAAATATTGGCCTAGTGTAATGATTTTTGTTGCATTTGACCACTTTTTATCTTCTCTGTTAAATCTATGATATAAAACTCAGCGTAACTATTTTTTTTCTGTTATTGTCATTAAAAGTGTTCATGTATTTAAATTTTTATATATTGAAGCTTAACATATACTAAAACAATGCCAGATATATTACATACTACATAATCTATACATATAATAAAATTCTGAGTCGAATCTGTACATTTAATATTTTTTGGAGAATCTTATTGAGATAGTCATTATTATCGATACGGAGGCCGAATTTATGGTTTCAAACTTTTTTATCTGTATGTCTTTCTGTATTTTGTCTTTTTATGTAATTTTGTGCGCTTATAAAATTAATTTAGGTTTAATAGGTAAATATTACTTGCAAATCGATTTATTATTCGTTATCAATTTCAACATACCAAGATCTGGAAATTTAATAAATCAGAAAAAAATAATCTGATTTCATTTTAATAATAATATAAAATATCAGAAGGCAATGAGGTGTCATTATGTACAATATCTTTTTGGCAAGCAATTCTGGTCACGTAAAAAATCGTGTAAGGAATAATTTTACTAATTTTTGCGATTTGAACTTGGCACATATTATTCGGGTTATAATCTATACTATAATAAAACAGTAGAGGTCGAATGTCTGCACATAGCAAAAAAATGCTAAAAACTGAGTCAGGGGGATGTAAGAAGACAAAAGAATAAATCCAGATTTTTTTTAAATTTTTTGTTTCTCTGACTGACTGTTTATCTGTTTGTACGGGCTAAACTCCGAATCTATTAGACCGGTTTAAATGAAATTTTGCACGGTGGTACCTTATATCCCCAGGCAACATTTTAGATACTTTTTATCCCGGAAAATTAAATAGTTCCCGTGGGATAGTTAAAAAACTATAATAAATTACACAGCTTAGTACACAAAAACTACTGTTTGGATTTTAATAAAACTTTACAATAATATAGTTCATACATGACAATAACAAATCGGCTACTTTTCATCCCGGAAAATTAAAGGGTTCCCGTGGGACAATCAAAAAACTACAGTAAATTATACAGCTTAGTACACAAAAACTACAGATTGGATTTTGATGAAACTTTACAATAATATAGGTTATACATCAGAATAACAAATAGGTTACTTTTTATCCCTGAAAAATGTACAGTTCCCGTGGGATAGATGTTTTCGTTTATTTGTAACGTATTATGTACATAACATAGATCCCAAAACAATAGTTATTAAAAAAATTGTCTGTTTGTCTGTATGTCTGTTTGTCTGTTTCTGTATGCGCGTTTCACGCGAAAAGTAATGGACCAATTTCAACGAAATTTGGTAAAGTGATAACTTATTACTCTAGTCAACGTTTAGCATACCTTTTACTTCAAGAAAATCTTTCTTTCTTACGGGAAGATACAATAAGTGGTTTTATCAAGTCCTCCCTAGAAACCTTCCGCTGGCCAAACCTTAAGACATACATACATCAAAACAATATACTAGAAAATTGTAGGTCTTGAAAATTCCTACAGGAAAGTTCTGAATAGTATATGTATATCTCCTTAGCAATATCTATTCTTATCTAAACCTATAATAAAAGTAACTTAGTCAAATCGATGTGCGCGTTTCACGCAAAAAGAACTGAACCGATTTTAACGAAATTTTGTATAGTGATAACTTAGTATTCGGGTCTATATTTAGGATACCTTTTACGACACGCAAATTATTCATTCCCACGGGAAAACACAATAACTGGTTCTATCGAATTGTCCTTAGAAATTTATAAGGCTAACGCTGGCTCAACCTTAAGTGATAGATCAAAACATTGTACAAGAAAATTGTAAGTCTTAAAAAGGTCGATAGAGAAGTTCTCAATAGTATATGTCTATCTCCTAAGGTACACTCGCTATAACTATTTTCATTATTATATATTACTGTTTTATTATACGTTATTTATTCTATCTATACGTATACATATAATAAAACTATAGAGGTCGAATATCTGTACATAGATTTTTTTTTGCTAAAAACCGAGTCTTACATCCCGTAAGAAGAAAAATAGAACAAATCCAGATATTTTCATTTTTTTTTGTTTCTCTGTCTGTTTGTCTGTTTGTATGGGCTAATCTCCGAAACTATTGACCCATTTAAATGAAATTTTGCATAGTGGTACCTTATATCCCCGATCAACATCTTAAATACTTTTCATCCCAGAAAATTAAAGAGTTCCCGTGGGATAGTTAAAAAACGATAAAATTTTATACAGCTTAGTACACAACAACATATGCACCTAATTTAGTAAAATTGAACATTTTGATACCTTATATTGCTGGTCAAACAACAGGTTACTTTTCATCCCGGAAAAATGAACGGTTCCCGTGGGAACTAATAGATCTCTATCAGTGTTTTTCTAGAGGCGAACCCGAGCGAAGCGGTGAGCCGCTAGTGTATAATATACCTAATATAAATATGTTACTGCTTCGGTGGTGTAGTGGCTAGTAAGTACGGCTGCACACCCGGAGGTCCTGGGTTTGAGTCCCGGGTTGGGCCAAGTTTAGTTATTGAATCTTTCTGTATAGTAAGCCTCAGTAACAGCCCGGAGTTGCGATGTTGGCGGTGTTTTATCCCCGTGCCTCGGAGAGCACGTAAAGCCGTCGATCCAGCGCCTTAACTCTCGTCCCACCAGAGCGTGAGAGTGACAGGAATAGAGAGTGCACTTGTGTCTTGTCTGCGCGTACACTTGTGCACTATAATATCTCCTGCGCAGTTGGCTAATCTCAATGAGATTGGCCGCCGTGGCCGGAATCGGTCAGTAGAACATCGTCATAAATATGTTAGTTAACACACAGCACCATCTAGTTCCATGGTAAGCTACGAGGCCTGCGTTATGGATACCAGATAGTAAATACAATACATATATGTTTAACTTTTTAAATACATACATATTATAAATATAAACACCAAGATTTTCCAAAAAAATATTTAATCTACAGACACGGCTTAGTTAGAAATTTTGTTATATATATAGAAATTGAATAAATACTTAGGGACGGACAGATACGTAATAAGAAAGAAATCATCTCAGGATATATTATAGAACCTTAAAATGGAATATTTTACTAATGACGTTAGCTAATTCTATAACAAAAGCGTAAAACCGCGTAAAATGTTTAGTATTATATAAGTATGGAATGAGGTAGTAGACGGTTACAAAATTGCGTTGTTTTGTTGTTCAACCGTTACGTGTGGACTATTTCAATAAAGTGGTCAATGAACTCATTACATTCAATCTAAACTATTTATTTTGCTTTTTTGATGGGTGCAATGTTTATTCTTTTAACTGCCTCGGTGGTGTAGTGGCTAGCATGTACGGCTGCACAATCGGAGGTCCTGGGTTCGAGTCCCGGGTCGGGACAAGTTTAGTTATTGAGTCTTTCTGTATAGTAAGCCTCAGTAATAGCCCGGAGTTGGGAAGTTGGCGGTGTTTCACCCCCTTGCCTCGGAGAGCACGTAAAGCCGTCGGTCCTGCGCCTTAACTCTCACTGGTCGTGTCGAGCAGTCGTCCCACCGGAGTATGAGAGTGACAGGAATAGAGAGTACACTTGTGTCTGCGCGTACACTTGTGCACTATAATATCTCCTGCGTAGTAGGCTAGTCTCAATAAGATCAATGAAAGATAAGATCAATGATCAATGATGATGTTCTCCTAGCATCATCATACTCTTTTAAAGTACGCCATTAATCTTTTTAATTTCAATTGATATATATATATATATATATATATATATATATATATATATATATATATATATATATATATATATATATATATATATATATATATTATAATGGTCGTTCATATAGTTTTAAGTCATCTAAAAATCATTTGACATAAATTCAATTCAATTATTATGTTCAATAGCTTGTAGGAGTGCCGTTTGGGCTCCATTTACCTAGTCAATCTCGCGTAGTATGGAAAATACACGTTTTATGTAGAATAACCGGTTTAAAATAGAAAAAAAAACACTAAATCTGATTACATGTAGAAACGGGGCAATTCCTTGTAAAATCGGGACCTAGAACAGACAATACAAAACTATAAGATACTCAAACCTAGAGTAATACTTCACTTTAGTAGTAAAATTTACCAACTACCTTCCTGCATATTATGTATAGTTAAATAAATATATATATATAGAAAGTACCTAGTGACACATCTAAGCAAAGCAAAGGTATGTCACAAGTATATTTAATTTATTAAATCCCATGAAATAGATATCAATAAATGATTATTATAATAATATTATGCAAAAAAAAACTGCTGATATGTTATAATTTCAGCTTTTTTTAAATATTAAAAAAAATGTAAGTATGTTTGTGTACCGACGCGTTATGTCAAAACGGTTGACAGATTCATTTTTTTCTTGCTTATTTGTTATTCCGAAACATTTAGTATTCTAGGCATAAAATTGTAGTGTCTGTTTCTAATGTCGAAATAATAACTGTTTATTAAAATATGTAAATATGTATGTATATGAAATTATATACGGTACTTATAAGAAAAATACATTTTTTTAAATTTTTGTCTGCCTGTTTGTTCCGGGTAATCTCTGAAACGGCTGAACTGATTTAGACGAAACTTTCACTAACAGATAGCTGATGTTATTAGGAGTAACTTAAGCTACTTTTATTATAGAAAAAGAATTAGGTTTCCGCTCAAAAGAATTAAAACGAGCGAAGTGACGGTATGTCACTAGTCTTTATTATATTTGCATAAGAAACAAAATAAACTGTGAACTAACACGATGTGAACAAAGCTTTAAAAGCTTAATTATAAGATAAAATAACCGGAACCGTATTTACATAATACAATCAAATATTTATAGTTAAAATTTCATACGAAACTATAATA